TTGGGCTTTGCGTTTGGGGTTTTCTATTCATTGACCTCTCTGCTACAACGGGCTTCCTGTGAGATGCACTGCACCCGACAAGTTCGACATCGGGCTGAAAGCAACTCCACTACCGACAACGGGGTTCCTTGGTGGAACTGAGGAGTGTCTGGACCCTGAAGGTCTCTCATAAGGAGGCTCAGCCCCTCTCCTGCCTCTCTCACGAAGCATTCCGGGTTCACCCTCGCCTATGTGGTAGGACGATGGCCTTCCACGGCCCTCCATACCAAGACAACTCAAGCACACACCAAGTCAGCGTATTGGGCTCACTTTCTTTCTTTGCAACAAAGCTTCCACGCTCCGCTACCACGGGAGAGTCCGCGGGACTTCAGCCTTCGGCTTCCGTGAGCCCGCGGACTCTCCCGTCTCAGAACTGCATTGTGTTGGAGTTTCTCACTTCCAAATTTTCGCGGCCAAATGGCCGAAGATCGTTGTGTCCTAGGCCTCTCAGCCCTGCCGATTTTTCAGTTTTGGGTCAAGTCCGTACGCCCAACACTCTTCTTCGAGTTTTGAATCAGCTCTGAGTACGACGATCTCTGGTGGGGTCTGGAGACGGCAGCATAAGAGAGAGGCGGCAGTTTGGCAGAACTTGGGCAGAACACTTGGCAGAACACTTGGGCAGAACATTTAGGCAGAACATTGAGCCAGAACATTTGGGCAGAAATTAGGGCAGAACATTTGGGCAGAACATTAGGGCAGAACATTTGGCAGAACATTTGGCAGAACATTTGGGCAGAACATTTGCAGTGCTGCAGTCCCCCAGAAGTTCCAGCCCAGTCCCCCACCTGCAGCCCGTGCAGCCTCTGCAGTTCCTGCAGCTTCAGCCACTGCAGTCACTGCACTCAGCCTTCCCCAAGCCCTTTCAGCCATTGCAGTTTTGCGGCTACTGCAGCCTCTCCCAGGCCCTGCAAGCCTGCAGGCACTGCAGTCCCTGCAGCCACTGCAGCCCCCGCAGCCACTGCAACTCCTGCAGCACCTGCAGCCCCTGCAGCCCCCCTGCACTGCAGCCCTGCAGCCCCTTGCAGCCAGCCCTCCCCCGCAGCCAGCACTGCCCTCTGCCCCCAGGTCCAGGGCTGCCAGCCTGTGGCTCTACCGGTTTCGTCCGCCCGTGCTGTGTCTACCGGTCGTGTTGGTCCTGTGGCTCTACCGGTCCTGTTGGCTCTGTGGGCTTTGTGCCGGTCGTGTCCCAGTGGCTCCACCGGTCCTGTCGGCCCTGTGCGGTGTCACCACTGTCGGCGTGCGAAGGGGCGTGTAGGCGAATGAGCCTTTCAATCACCACTATCGGCGTGCAAAGGGGCGTGTAGGCGAATGAGCCTTTCAATCACAACTATCGGCGTGCGAAGGGGCGTGTAGGCGAATGAGCCTTTCAATCACAACTATCGCCTGCGTGGCAACAATTGCGTGGCAACATTGGCAACATTTGCGTGGCAACATTTGCGTGGCAACATTTGCGTGGCAACATTTGCGTGGCAACATTTGCGTGGCAACATTTGCGTGGCAACATTTGCGTGGCAACATTTGCGTCATTTTGTGTGGCAATTTGCGTGGCAACATGTGGCATTCCGGGTTACGTCGCAGTGCTGCACGCGTGTTCGTCGTCGCGTCGTCGTCGCCTCGTCGTAACATGTGGGGTGACATTTGGAGGTAACATTCTGGAGGGCTGGAGGGCCTAGCTGCAAGGGCTCAGGCATGGAGGGTGGCAGTGGCTGCAAGTTGAAGCAAGGGCTGCAGGGGCTGCAGGGCTGCAGTGGCTGTGCAAAGGGGCTGCAGTGGCTGCAGTGGCGGCTCAGGTGTTGTCGCCTCGTCGTCGCCTCGTCATCGCAGGACATTTTGGCGTAACGCGCCTCGTGCGTCGTCGCGGCCAGGTAGGCAACATTTGCGTGGCAACATATGCGTGGCAACATTTGCGTGCAACGTTTGCGTGGCAACATTTGCGTGGCAACATTTGCGTGGCAACATATGCGTGGTCACCCCCGGTCCTCACCACCCGCGCCGGCCTCGTCGTGTCATCGCCCCCGCCTCTATCCTCACCCCTATCCTCACCTATCCTCACCGGTAGCCCCATATCCTCACATATCCTCACCCTGGGCCCTCACACCACCAGCGCTGATCGTCGTGCACTCGTCGTCCCCCCGCCTTTATCCTCACCCCTCACCATCACCCCGATCCTCACCACCCGCGCCGGCCTCGTCGTGTCATCGGCCCCCCACCTCTATCCTCACCACTATCCTCACCCCTATCCTCACCGGCCCTGTCCTCACCAGGGTTGTCGCCTAACCGGTAACGCAGGCTCAGGGGTAAGGTAACATTGGGGTAAAGGGGGCTCAGGGGTAACATTGGGGTAACGCCGGGTCAGGGGTAACATTGGGGTAACGCGGCGTTTGGGGTAACATTGGGGGAACATTGGGGCAAAACGCGGCTCTGGCTTTGAGCCCCACAGGTTAAGAGGGCAGTGAAGGGCTTCTAATCTTTGGGGCTTCTTTCGGGCTTTGAGTTCCAGGTTAGAGGCAGCGAAGGGCCTTTAATCTCTGGGGCTTCTCACGGGCTTTGCGTCCCAGGACTTAGAGGGCAGTGAAGGGCTTCTAATCTCCTGGGCTTCTTTCGGGCTTTGAGTCCCAGGTTAGAGGGCAGTGAAGGGCCTCTAATTTGTGGGGCTTCTTTCGGGAGGGCAGTGAAGGGCCTGGGCTTCCTTCGGGCTTTGAGTCCCAGGGAGGGGTTCAGTGGAGGGCCTCTAATCTTTGGGGCTTCTCTGACTCTCGGGCTTTGAGTCCCAGGGTGGGCCTGAAAAAAGTAGTGATCTTTGGGCTTCTAAGGGCCTGGTGGGCCTGAGAATGGCGGCCTCTAATCTTTCGGGCAAGGAGGGCCTGCGTGGTCAGTCGTCTCCGCGTCCCCTCCCCCCCCCCGTGTTGCGTCGTCGTCGCAGTGTCGTCGCCGCTTCGTCGTGTCGTCCTCCTCGTCTCCCGTGCACATCGTCCTTCCGCATCCGTCTCCTCGCCTCGTCGTCGGAGGGGAACAGTTGGGGTGGAGGGCTGGAGGGGCTGCTGAGGACCTGGGCTGGAGGGCAAGAGCCGTGAAGGGCAATGAAGCGCCTCTAATTTGTTGTTTACCTGGAGGGCGAGGGGCTGGAGGGGCTAGAGGGCCTGGAGAGGCTGGAGAGGCTGGAGAGGCCCTTTGGCGCCTGGTTTTCAGGCCGCTAGCCCCCCAAGGGCTGCGAAGCTTGTACCTCGTCGTCGCCCTCGTCGTCGTCGCCACATCGTGGTCTTGTCATGGCTTGTCCTCACCACTTCTTGGGATTGAGGATTCGAGTGATGCGTGTGTGCGTGTGTGCGCGCGTGTGCGTGTGCGTCTGTGTGTGCGCGTGCGTGCGCATCTGCGTTTGCGTTTGCGTGTGCTGCAGCGACTGCCTGGGAGCTGCAGCGACTGGGGGAGGGCCTGGGGCTGCAGCGAACAGTGAGGCCTGGCGGGCTGCAGTGACTGGGGGCTGCAGCAACTAGCGAGGCTGGGGCGGCAGCGACAGTGAGGCTGGGCTGCTGGAGGGGGAGGGGCTGGGCTGGGGGCTGGCTGGGAACTGCTGCAGCGATGCGTCGTCGCCGCGTCGTCGCGTCATCACTGCGCCGTCGTCGCCACGTCGTCCTCGTCGTCGCGTCGTCGTGTCATCCGTGCCCGCCTCTCACCCGTATCCTCACCCCCCCCGGCCCTCACCACGAGCGCTCGTCGTCGCCGCATCGTCGTCGCATCGTCGCCGCGTCGTCTCGTCGTCTTCCTCACCTTGGGTTGGTGCAGCTTAGCGGGTGGCTGCAAGGCTGCAGGGCTGCAGGGCTGGCGGCTAGCTGCCACCCACACCCGTCGCTATCGTCCCGTCGTCGTCGCCGCGTCGTCGTCGCCGTCGTCGCCGCGTCGTCGTCCCCCACCCTGGCCTCACCCCTCTCGTCCCGTCGTCGTCGCATCATCGCGCGCGTCGTCGCCGCGTTGTCGTCCCCCGCCCTCCCTATCCTTCTTCCTCACCCCTCTTGGGGAGTTGCAACTTGGCCTGGAGCTGCAGGGGTGCTGCAGAGGCCTGGCTGCTGGAGGCTGTGCGCCTCATCGTCGCGCGTCGTCGTCCCTATCCTCACTCACCTCCTTCTCGTCGTCGCCGCGTCGTCCCGCGTCGTCCCGCGTCGTCGCCGCGTCGTGGCCGCGTCGTCGCCGCGTCGTCGCCGCATCCTGCTGCCTCGTTGTTGCCGCGTCGTCGCGTCGTCGTGCCCGCGTCGTCGTCGCCGCCGCGTTCCGTCGTTGTTCTGTCGCCTCGTCGTCGTCGCCTCGTCGTCGCCTCGTAGGATCGGAGTGAGGATCAAAGTGAGGATCAAGGTGAGGATCAGGCAATGGGACAGTCCATCCCTTTGCGGGCCGGGGCGGGGGCGGGGGGGAAGCGCAGGGCACTCTACCTACCTACTGCCAGTCCTACTGCACAGCACGCTGCACTCCACCAACTCTTGCGCCGAGCTCACAGGCCCTGGCGTCAAAACAAATGGCCGGACCCACCCCAACACTGTGCGACTGCGGTGCTGTGCCTACTGTGTCTGCTGCGCTTGCTGCCTTGCTGCGCGTGCTCTTTGCCCTGCCCTGGAAGGCGCGGCGCGAGCAAGTAAAATCAGAGCCGAGCAAAATCATGTAAGCTATGCAAAATCGTGCAAAAGCGTGCACCCCCTAGCTATATTAGGGGCACGTGTCCCCTAAATTTCACAGGGCCGAAAGGCGGACAAGGAGTGTTTTTTTCCTTTTGGGCGCATAGGGGTTTAGGGTTCTTGTTTAAACGGTAATGAAGGCTTGAGCGATCCCCAACGAAAAAGAAATAAACCGTAAATGTTAAAATTGGGTTGAACAGGTTGCCTTTAAGCTGTGCCTCCTTTTTTCTGCTTTGCCCTAGTGGTGGAGCGGGTCCGTGGCTTTCAGATGCTGCGGGGCCTTCTTCATGCTATCCTTTACAAGCGTCGCGCACGCTTGGAGGGCTTGGCGCTGGCGGCTGGTTCCCAGATGTGCTGAAACACCCATGTGTGAAAGTTCGGGTCGGTCAATGAAGTGGACGGTGCATTCGCCCTCGGGTCATCTGCCACTCCAAGAGACGAACACAATGTGAGAATATCTTCCTTCATTCCAGCCTTGGTTGCATCCGGTGTGCTGGCAAAGTCCACCCATAAGTACCTGCTCTTCACCTTGATGACATTCTGAATCCGTGCGTCTCCATGGACAAGGCCTGCATTATGGCAGGCATGCAAAGCCTCGCATATCTTCGGAATAGCCTGCTTGTGCTTGCGGCAGTGCTCAAGCGTCATTGGCTCTCCAACTTGTGTCATCAGGAAGTAAGCTCCCCTGACCACTTCTCCTTCAATACGATGGACTGCACCTGCCGGAACAACCACTGGCAGGTTTTTTTTGGTTGTTGTTGCATTCTTCAGTCTCTCCACTTCCTTCTCAAGTGTGTCACCATCGACGACCACCTTCATGGCGAAGTGTTTGCTGCCGCATCGTACTTTGAGCACCCTGCCGAACCTCCCTTTTCCAAGGTATCCCAGCACGATTGCCTCGCATTTGGCCAAGCATAGCCTCAAGAGAAGCTCCTCTGCTGGTTGATACCTTTCGCACTGCTCAGAGAGGAACTTGACAACACCCGGTTGGTTCCAACTGCCCGTCCAAATCTCATCCAGCCTTTTTGCCGTGTCCTTGGCCCCCTGGACTATCATCAATTGGAATTTCTCTGCATCATACAAGAGCCCGTAGCTCGCTACAGTTCGGCAGAGATGCCTGTACATTTGGTCTTCCGCAGCGTGGCCAGCACTCTTGCCATCGAAGAGGGCAGTCACCGAGTCCAGCAGTGCGGGGATCCCATAGTTCTCCGATTCAGGATTGCATACATCTTTGGGAATGAAGCAGCATGCAGCAAAAAAATCGGGTGAACCGATGCCCTCTTGCCAGACAAACTTCTCGCAATTCACCAAGACAACATGCCTGGGCAAGATCAGTTTCAGCACCTTTTCAATAACCAGGTTCAACTTGTGGGAATCTTTTCTGTGCTGCTTCAGCTCCTTCTGCATGCCAGAATCCAGCGTTTCCTCACCTTCGTAGCCCTCAAATTTCTGCACTTTTGCCCACTTGCGCCGCTCAGCTGCACACGTGTGTGGTGTCTGTGAAAGTGGGGGTGGTTGCAGGAAACGCTTCACCTCGTGGCTTTGCTGGTCCATCTTCTGGTCCATCCTCTGCTCCATCTGGTCCATCTTCTGCTCCACCCGGTCCATCATTTGCTGGCTTTGCTGCTCCACCCGGTCCATCATTTTCTTGTTTTGCTGGCTTTGCTGGTCCAGTTGCCGCCTGATATCCTGACACGCAAGATTTTCAATACAGACATCTTACAAAAGCATCCTGCAAACACAACTTGCGCAACATCAGACGAACACCTAAACCGCCTCAACCCTAAACACGTTTTTTCTCAATTTTTGCGCCCACATGCGCGAACCTGCAGCTGGTCGGTGGATGCTGCTGATGCTGTTGGTGCTGTTGGTGCCTCGTAGTGCACGCGCAAGGCACTGGCTGCGTTGGTACCATTACCCTTCTCCATGACGCTCTCAATCGTCGCATCGATTGCGAGCACCTCAAACACATGCATGCCCAAAACAATCAAAAACATGTTACCACAACTGTGTTCACAAACATCTTAGGACAAAGGGCTTTGGTCGGGTTTTGGGTGTGTTTTCTTGATGTTTCTGAATGGCGGTGCCTGCTCCTTGGCGTCGAAATGCCGTTTGGACTGGTATATGTCGATGTGCCGCGGCGCAGGCAGATCATTATTCCTGTCCTTGATCTTGCTTTTGAGCGCAATGATGTCTTCGTTCGCGTCAATGCGGACATAATCCACTCGACCATCCGGACACTGGTAGTACACCTTGCGCTCTGCCATCGTCACTGCAGGGGCAAAATGTCCGAACTACACTATGTGGCAACTGCCTCTTCTAACCACTTCCTTTCAAGAAGGGTTACTTGCGACAACACATGGCTGCATAACATGACGGATTGCATGAAATGGAGCACGCAATCAACGTGGCACAAACCCTCGAGCTCATGCCAGACAGAACATGACATGAACACTCACAGCTGCTTGGCAAGGGGGGTTTGGGGTGATTCTTGCTATTTGCATTGTTATTAGCACTGCTGTTAGTATTGTTGTTTGTATTGTTATTGATATTATCGGGAAGATTTTCAGAACTTTCTGATTTACATTCTTGTTTTGCTGTCGTTCATATCTTCGTTGCAGGAAACACTTGATATTAACAAAGATCGCCCCAGAAAATGCGGCGGAGAGACGCCCGAGACGGAAAGTCTGATTGATGTGTTCCTTGAATAGCGGGTGTGAAACCTTGAAGCCGCTCTTTTGAATATTCGTTTTGACAATTCGTGCTTTACTCCTGGTTGTAAGACCTGTTGCCCACTCGCTGCTTGAGGTGCCGGCTTTACATGTTTTTTCGTCGGAGTTGGTACACGGTGTTCGTTCGGCCTCTCCAGCATGCGCAATAAGCGTTTGCCTGTTCACCTGCCTAGCCCTGGCATATGACCATTGTGCTTAACATCTTTGTCCCAGACCATGTACGAGGACAGCCGCATAGTTTCCTCGGTTCATGTATGTACGGTTCATGTTTGTAAACATGTCACTGCTTTGCGAATCGCGGGGTGAACACTTGCTGGGCACGAAGTGGGATCCGGGAGTGCGTTGTGTGCAGGGTAGGCTTTGCTGGCGCATTGTAGGCATTGCGTTGCTGCAGTTGCATGTTGCTTAACATGTGTACGTGCGACAGTTGTCCGAGTGTGTCACTGTGTGGGGTCGAGTATTCTTGCTCGAGTGACTGCAGTGCCTTCGGACGGCATTCTTGTTTTCTTGCTCTTTTCTCTGTTGTTGAGATGTGCAGCAGCGATTCCCCGGCTGAGCTGTGGGCTATGTTGCCTCGCAGATCTCGAGCTGAGTACGGTTGTACTGGTGGCTTAGTCCCATCTGCAAGTGTTCTCGCCTTCTTAGTGGACAACGCGGACGACATGGCCAGCTTGGTAGCGCAGTATGCACCAGGAGATGCTCGCGCGAGCCATGTGGCACGTGCTTTGTGGACTCTAGTGCAATGCGATGCCACTTCCGCTTGCAAACGCCGTAGCCTTGTGGATCCTGCTTGGCAGCGAGTGCTTCTTGCGCGTCGACTTCCGCAGTCTGAGTCGACTGCCCCTGGCCTGTGTGACACCTTATCTTGGCTGCGGTCGAAGTCCGGTGCTTGTCGGCGCAGTAGTACGCTGCTCTTTCGAAGTCGCAAACAACTTTCTCGAGTTGAAGACGGACAGTCGCGTGAATCTATTGATGCGCAGAGACTACTTCATTGCAGGCGTGAGTTGGCGGAGCTGGTTTCCGAAGCAGGTCTACCTATTGCTGCGCAAGCGCAACTGGCATCTGCTCCTGAGGAAATCATTGTTGCGTCCCTGGGTTCTATGAGGGCTTCCACTATTCGCAAGAAGGTTCGCGAGTGGCGCAGGGTCCGTATCTTCAGCCTGGGTGCCTGTGGATGTCCATGGCCTTCTCACGTGGGCATCGTGCTGGATTATTTGCGTGAGCGTGTGGACGAACCTTGCGGTCGCACTGTGCCAGAAGCTGTTGTCTCGGCATTTGCTTTCATGGAAAAAGTTGGCTGCGTTCCAGGGCCCGATCGGGTTTCAGCGTCGCAGATTCTTCGGAATTTTGTGAACCAAGCAACGCATGACCTGGAGGTCGGCGCCCCCCCGACCAAGAAAGCCCCGCTTCTGCCCCTGGTGATGGTGGGGTCCTTGGAGCTCATGGTCGTCGATGCTCAGGCACCTCTATATGCGCGTGGTTTAGCTTTCTGCAAGCTTCTGAAGTTGTGGACTGCGTGCCGCACCAGTGACTTATGTGGTTTAAATCCTTCTAGTCTGCGTCTGAATCGCCTGGGCCTGGTTGGCGTGCTCGAGAAGACGAAGACTACGGGTGCTGGCAAGCGGATTCGTCATCTTCCAATCTACATCAGTCATAGTGCGTACTTCATGGCACCTGATTGGCTCAGCGTGGGTTGGAAAGTTTGGTCAGATCCTGCGATGTCTTTTGGCCGAGACTATTTCCTCCCGATGCCGAAACCGGACTGGAGCGGTGCCTGCAAACGGATGGCAGAGTATGCTGACTCTGCCGGCCTGAGTGTTCAGTTGTTGCGTCGCTTGTCTGTCCCGCGTCGACAAGGCTCCAAATGGTTGCAGTCCGAGAACCCGTTGCTCCTCTGCGATGCTGCCGCCGTTTTCTGGAAAGAACACTCGGAGCGCAATTGGCTCAACAGCATGCTGGCCGCGATCGAGGTGAGCAAGGAGCTGCGAGACTATGTGGGTAGGTGGCACATCTCCTCATCCGATGAGTACTTACGGACAGCTCAACAGGTTGTGGTTGGTCTGCAAGAAAAGCTGGTTACTTACTTCTGTGGTCCAGATCGATGGGATCTTCGCAATGCTGGTCTGGATGAGCTTGAGTCTCACCTGCGTGCTCGCGGGGTTGATTCCGGCCTAATCAAGCGTCAGCGCTCTAATTTGAACTTGCCTGAAAGATGGTGTCTGCGTGTGCCCGAGCCACTCGACCCTGCCCCTGCAGTGTCTCTGGAGGTTGCTGAGGAAGTCGATGATGCAGAATCGCAAAGCCCGTATTTTGTCACCGTCGTGGGCAACAAGCGGCTACGCAGGCTCCATCGCCGCGGGGGATGCGGCGTGTCGGTGCTGGAAGTGCAAGAGTCGGAGCCCGTTTGGCATTTGAAGGGGCTCATGTACAATTTGGCTTGTCAGCATTGTTGGCGCCCTGGGGAATCCACCGTTTCGGAAGCCGAGGAAGCAGACGACTCGGGCAGTGCAAGTGACAGTGAAGACTAAACTGCCGGAACTGCTCCAACGAGCAGGGATTGTGTAGGGCCTAGGGTAGGTTCGATAGGTCCCATGTTCGGCGCTGCCTGTACGAATAGTAGGGCATGCGTCTTTTGTCGCGCCTGCGCGATGTTTTTTTTTTCTTGCATTAGAGAGCGCGGGTGTGCGCCTCTAGTGTCTGCAGCGTAAGTCTTCGCTGCGTGCATGTCGCGAGGATTCGCGGGAGTTGGCGGATGCCAATGCTTATTGCTCGCAGAAGTGTCTGTGGCTCCAAGTGTTCATCGCGTTTCCTTTCTTGTGCTAGGGTCGTCTAGTGCTTGCAGCATGACGGTAGATGTGCTCGCTTCGGCAGATGCGGATCTTCGCTTCCAGATGGAGGAAGCAGGCGTCAGCGCGGACGTGCAGAAGGCAATCTATGCAGAAGGCTTCACTTCCGTGCGCGTCTTCGCTGGATTGGAAGAGACCCGCGAGGGTGTGCGGGCGGCGCTGAAGTCCTCCTTCAAGCTCGACAGCAACGAGAGCCCTGCCATGCGCAAGGAGATCGCTCTCTTGCTGGCTGTTTGGGAAGGGGCTCGCTCTCTGCTGACGTACCAGGCAAAGAACAAAGAAGAGGCAAAACAAGGGACACAAAATCGGCTCATGCAGTCCTCCGAATACGGTGCGATGCGCACCAGGGTCGAGCAAGTCTTGAGTCGTACTCTCAAGGATCGCGAGGCTCCGAGCAAGGCCTTGGTTGCCTCCAAGCTCGAGCAACTTGAGGACGGGGTTCCCAAGGCCGAAGATCTTAGGGATGTGACGTCTTACGAGGACGTGGAGGGGGAGGCCTACAGCGCCATTATCGACCCTGCCACAGCCATGCTGCGCATCAAGCCTGGTCGCGCGTCTACAATACCCCCAGGGTCACCAGAAGAGCTTCGTCTTCGCCATCGTCGCATCGGCTTGGCGTGGGATTTCGTGAAGACGCGGCATTCCACCCGAGCTTGGGTTCCTGACAATTGTGTGGATTGCTTCCGTGTGCTATCGGACCATGTTTTAGGCTCGGCAGTAGCCGGACTTCGGAGTGCTTCAGGCCAAGGCCCCACCTGGTCCTTGGTGTTGAGCTATGAGCAAGAGCTTCGCAAAGCCGCGTATCGCTACATTCGCGACGGTCAGTGCAAAGACTTGCGTGCTGCTCTTGAGAAGGCGTGTGATGCCCCGGAGGTTTTGACCACACACTTTATCGTCCCGTTCACCTTGGGCAAGGCCGAGGATCCTGTGGATATGCCCGACTTGACAAAGGTGCCTTGGCTGCATCATGGGAAAGGTGGCAAGGGCAAAGGCGGCGGCAAAGCTCCGGATTGGGGGCGGCAATGGGGGAAGTCTAACAAGACTCCTGATGGCAGGGCTCTATGCTTCAAGTTCAACAAAGAATCGGGTTGCAACGATCCTTCCTGCCGTTTCGCGCATGTGTGCTGGCGCTGCTTTGGGAAGCATTCTTTCCAGAAGTGCAAGTTCCGTAAAGCTCCCCCGAACACGGGGACTGCCCAAGTTGACTGAATGCAAGTTTCTTCCTCTTCTGGCCCGCTGCTGCCTGAAGGGGGGTCGGTTGCGCAGCGTGCAGTTGCTGATCCTGGCAAGCGAAAGTCTGTGGCCACTGCAGATGAGGCCGCGTCTGGTGATGAAGAGGAACTTTGGAACAATATCTTTCCCAGCCGTGCTTACTCTGGCCTAGAGTATGAAGAAGGAGGCGACGGTATTCGCATCGCTGGTTTGCGAGGGACAGGGCCACCGCTGTACTGTCGTATGGGTGGTGCACGGAAGCCTTTCACCGATGGTTGCGGTCTGTGCTCCCCTGGTCGATGGCCTCCCTCTGCCAGGCAGGATGCTTACGAGAATGTGAAGTTGTCCTTCCATCAGCGCCTTGCGACAAAGCTGCATAACTTTGTGGGCGCAAAGCTCAATGTGCGTGACTTAGCGTTTAAGCTTGCTGCAGGTGTTGTCAAGGAGGCCCCCTTCAGTGACGAAATGCTGGAGGAAGGCAGAAGCATCATCTGGAAGGAGCTTCGTGATGCGGGATGCCAGCTACCTGTAGAGGAGAAGAGCCCTGGTCAGCCCTTCTACCTCGCGGCCATCGAGGAACTGCTACGGCTGGCTGGGGATCCAGATTCTGCTGCGTTTTACACAAGTCAAGACTCCTTTGCGAAAGGAGTGCGCCTAGGTGTCGGTGTGGAGCTGCCACGCGTGCCTGCTGTTTTCACTGCCAAGGATCGATGGAGGACCTACCCAGATGGTCCTGACGGGACGGTGCTTCGGGACAACTATGTATCCGCTAAAGAACATGCAGCAGAAGTGCAAAAACAGTTTGAGATCGAAGCGGAGCTTGGTGCCATGTACGAGACGGACTTGGAGGCTGCGTGCAGGGAGCTCGGCGAAGTGTCAGTCGCCTCGCTTGGAGCCATCGAGAAGAAAGATGGATCCTACAGGGTGACCCATGACGCAACGCACGGCCTGTCTGTCAACAGTGTGATAAAGGTTCGGGATCAGATGCGCTGCCCTGGGGCCGGAGACCTTCGGCGAGCTTTGCAGACTTTGCCTACAGCGTTCTTCGCCCTCTCAGGGGATGTGGCGCGTGCCCATCGCCTCGTAAAGATTGCAAAGCGTGACTGGAAGCATCTTTGCTGTCGCACTGGCACCAAGAGAGATGACGTAATATGGGTGAACTGCGTGGGTACCTTTGGTGTCTCGTCAGCTGCGTACCACTGGTGTCGTCTGATGTCAGGACTTGGGCGCTCTGCGTTCTTCTTGTTCGGCAAGTTCGGCTGGATGCAACTTGTTTACGTCGACGATCTTCTCTGGCTCGTCGGCGACAAAGGCGGCATTGAAAAGCTGATCACAGTGATCTTTTACTACTCAGCACTGGGGTTGCCGTTTGCTTGGAAGAAGTTTTCGGGTGGCCTCGTGTGCAAGTGGGTCGGTTTCGAGTTGACACTGGCTGAGAGAGCCTTAGGACTCACTGAGGGAAGGGCAAAATGGATAATCTCCTGGGTGTCGCATACTGTGGATGCTGGTGCAGTTCGAATGGCAGATTTTCGCGCAGTGCTCGGCAGGCTTTCGTTTGCGTTCACTGTACTTCCCAACTTCCGACCGCTCTTGGGACCGCTGTATGCCTGGAGTGCAGCGATGGGATCCTTCCACAGTCTTCCCTTGCCAAAGCTGGTGGTCGTGCTCTTGAACTTCTTGAAGGCTTCGCTAGAAAGACTTGGGAGAAATGCGGCAGTCGCCGACCACTGTGATGCAGAAAGAGAGCTCTTTCGGACGGATGCCCGGGCCGAAGGCGACGAGGTGTGGATCGGGGGCTTCGCGTTAGACAATGGCACGTTGTCAGAGTGCCGCTGGTTTGCAGAGCGCATCTCGCACAACACAGGCAAATGGCTCTTTCTGGCCGGAGAGTCCTATCGTGCCATTGCATCTTTGGAGCTTCTCGCGACCTTGACAGCAGTAGTACTCTTTGGCGTTCCAGGGGGTCAACATCTTGGCTGTGCTTGCTCAGCTAGCACCGACAATCGCGGCAACGCCTTTGCCGTCTCAAAGTTGATGACGACGAAATTTCCCCTATGTGCCTTTTTATTGGAACTCGCCATGCAGCTTCAGATGAAGTCGTCAGAGCTGCAGTTGAGATGGCTTCCCAGGCTCCAGAATGTCGAAGCAGACCGGCTCACTAATGGTGATTTCACCGGCTTCAGCGATCATAAGCGGTTGCGGTTTTCGGTGGATGAGTTTCGTGGCATTTTGCTTTCGGACATGCTTGACTTGGGCTCCGATCTCTATGGCTCGATCAGGGAGGCCAAGACGAAGGGCAAGCTGCGGATTCCTAAGACGCGCAGAGAAGACACGCTCAAATGCAGAGATCCTTGGATGTAGGTGCTAAGGCCTGTTCAGACCGTTGCTTCTTGGGTTTTGGCTGCTGCTTGCTCTTCGAGAGTGGCAGTGGTTTGCAGCAGCAGCTGTGTCGATTTATCAGCATCGGAGCTGATGTCATCTTGCTTCAGAGTTCCTGAGCTCTGTGCGATCCACCGATGGAAAAGAGCGGGAGTCCTCTGCAAGGGTGCCTCTTCGGTTTGCCGGTTTTGGTCCCGGGGTTTTGTGGGCTTCGTTTTCTTTGCTGCACGGTAGGATCCCGCGGGGTGAACACTTGCTGGGCACGAAGTGGGATCCGGGAGTGCGTTGTGTGCAGGGTAGGCTTTGCTGGCGCATTGTAGGCATTGCGTTGCTGCAGTTGCATGTTGCTTAACATGTGTACGTGCGACAGTTGTCCGAGTGTGTCACTGTGTGGGGTCGAGTATTCTTGCTCGAGTGACTGCAGTGCCTTCGGACGGCATTCTTGTTTTCCCTCCCTCCCGCCCTGTGTCTGCAGGGGGGCAGTGGTTTGCAGCAGCAGCTGTGTCGATTTATCAGCATCGGAGCTGATGTCATCTTGCTTCAGAGTTCCTGAGCTCTGTGCGATCCACCGATGGAAAAGAGCGGGAGTCCTCTGCAAGGGTGCCTCTTCGGTTTGCCGGTTTTGGTCCCGGGGTTTTGTGGGCTTCGTTTTCTTTGCTGCACGGTAGGATCCCGACATCGTAGGCCTGTGTTCGCGCAGAGGCTGCTGGACACGGAGTTGAAAATGCACGTCGATGTGCAACCCGACGAGTTCAGCGAGCGCAAGCTGAGCTTTGTGCACAAAGCTGAACGTGACCTAGAGATGGGGCACATGGACGCTGCCGAGGGCACGGCTGCAGCCGCCAGGAAGGCTACGGGACACCACATGTCTACGTGCCACAGCATCTCACCCGCCGGCGTCGTCAGCTGGCTGACATTCGCAAAGATCCGAGACCCAGGCAAATCAGCGCGATCCGACCCTGCCACTGCAACCCGTGCTGAGGCGACAAAAGGGCACTCTTGTTCTCCGCTTCCCCCAACTCCCAGGTGCAGAATCGGAAGTGCCGGTGTGGCCCTCATGTTTTGCCCCCGGGGTCCGTCCCCCGGCCCGCGCCAACCTCGAAACACTGCCAACCGGCGGCGGCGAGCACAACCACGACCCGACGACGACGACGACCACGATGGGTTAGGCGCACTCGTGTGAGCCAACACTTGGTTCACCCGAGGCATGACATGGTGGGCTGGAGCCGGCTGACGACGACGGCGACGCGGCGGGGACGACGACGACGCGGCGACCACAAGCGACGACGCGGCGACGACGCGGCGACGACGCGGCGACGACGCGGCGACGACGCGGCGACGAGCGACGACGCGGCGAGGACGGGACGAGGAGACGATGGGAGCGGGACGTGGGACGACGACGCGGCGACGAACGCGATGACGATGCGATGACTCCTGTCACCTCCAGCAGCCAGGCCTCCAGGGCCCCCACCAGCCCTCTCAGCCCTCGCTGCAGTCCCACCCAGGCCAAGCTGCACCTACCTCAATGCCCTCCCTCCTCACCCCTGACCCAAGAGGATGGGGTGAGGATAGCGGTGAGGACAAAGACGAGGACGACGATGTTTTCTTGCAGTCTCCAGGCCCAGCCTCGGTCGGGGTCCTCACTCCTGCCCAAGAGGATGGGGTGAGAGGACGAGACGCGGCGCCGTCGGCGAGGTAGGGCAGAGGATGGAGGTAGGATAGAGATGCGGCGATGCGGCGCCGACGCGACGACGACGCGACGACGCGGACGATGACGCGACGATGACGCGACGACGACGCAGTGACGCAGCGACAGTCGCTGCAGCTTCCAGGTGCGTCACAGGTGCACAGTCGCTGCAGGTCCCAGATGCCCTCACAGTCCTGCCGCAGGCCCTCACAGTCGCTGCAGGTCCTTGGTGCGGATAGGTGACGACGCACGAGCGACGGCGATGACGACGCGGCGACGACACGGCGACGACGCAGCCAGCAATCACTTTGATCCTCGCCCTGATCCTCACTTTGATCCTCACCTTGATCCTCACTTTGATCCTCACTCCGATCCTACGAGGCGACGACGAGGCGACGACGACGAGGCGACAGAACAACGACGGAACGCGGCGGCGACGACGACGCGGGCACGACGACGCGACGACGCGGCAACAACCGACGCGGCCACGACGCGGCGACGACGCGGGACGACGCGGGACGACGCGGCGACGACGAGAAGGAGGTGAGGATAGGGACGACGACGCGCGACGATGAGGCGCACAGCCTCCAGCAGCCAGGCCTCTGCAGCACCCCTGCAGCTCCAGGCCAAGTTGCAACTCCCCAAGAGGGGTGAGGAAGAAGGATAGGGAGGGCGGGGGACGACAACGCGGCGACGACGCGCGCGATGATGCGACGACGACGGGACGAGAGGGGTGAGGCCAGGGTGGGGGACGACGACGCGGCGACGACGGCGACGACGACGCGGCGACGACGACGGGACGATAGCGACGGGTGTGGGTGGCAGCTAGCCGCCAGCCCTGCAGCCCTGCAGCCTTGCAGCCACCCGCTAAGCTGCACCAACCCAAGGTGAGGAAGACGACGAGACGACGCGGCGACGATGCGACGACGATGCGGCGACGACGAGCGCTCGTGGTGAGGGCCGGGGGGGGTGAGGATACGGGTGAGAGGCGGGCACGGATGACACGACGACGCGACGACGAGGACGACGTGGCGACGACGGCGCAGTGATGACGCGACGACGCGGCGATGCCAGCAGTTCCCAGCCAGCCCCCAGCCCAACCCCTCCCCCTCCAGCAGCCCAGCCTCACTGTCGCTGCCGCCCCAGCCTCGCTAGTTGCTGCAGCTCCCAGTCACTGCAGCCCGCCAGGCCTCACTGTTCGCTGCAGCTCCAGGCCCTCCCCCAGTCGCTGCAGCTCCCACGCAGTCGCTGCAGCACACGCAAACGCAAACGCAGATGCGCACGCACGCGCACACACAGACGCACACGCACACGCGCGCACACACGCACACACGCATCACTCGAATCCTCAATCCCAAGAAGTGGTGAGGACAAGCCATGACAAGACCACGATGTGGCGACGACGACGAGGGCGACGACGAGGTACGAGCTTCGCAGCCCTTGGGGGGCTAGCGGCCTGAAAACCAGGCGCCAAAGGGCCTCTCCAGCCTCTCCAGGCCCTCTAGCCCCTCCAGCCCCTCGCCCTCCAGGTAAACAACAAATTAGAGGCGCTTCATTGCCCTTCACGGCTCTTGCCCTCCAGCCCAGGTCCTCAGCAGCCCCTCCAGCCCTCCACCCCAACTGTTCCCCTCCGACAACGAGGCGAGGAGACGGATGCGGAAGAACGATGTGCACGGAAGACGAGGAGGCCGCCATTCTCAGGCCCACCAGGCCCTTAGAAGCCCAAAGATCACTACTTTTTTCAGGCCCACCCTGGGACTCAAAGCCCGAGTCTGAGAAGCCCCAAAGATTAGAGGCCCTCCACTGAGAAGGAAGCCCAGGCCCTTCACTGCCCTCCCGAAAGAAGCCCCACAAATTAGAGGCCCTTCTCTAACCTGGGACTCAAAGCCCGAAAGAAGCCCAGAAAATTAGAAGCCCTTCACTGCCCTCTAAGTCCTGAGACGCAAAGCCCGTGAGAAGCCCCAGAGATTAAAGGCCCTTCGCTGCCTCTAACCTGGAACTCAAAGCCCGAAAGAAACCCCAAAGATTAGAAGCCCTTCACTGTCCTCTCAACCTGTGGGGCTCAAAGCCAGAGCCGCGTTTTGCCCCAATGTTCCCCCAAATGTTACCCCAAACGCCGCGTTACCCCAATGTTACCCCTGACCCGGCGTGACCCCAATGTTACCCCTGAGCCCCCTTTACCCCAATGTTACCTTACCCCTGAGCCTGCGTTACCGATTAGGCGACGACCCGGTGAGGACAGGGCCGGTGAGGATAGGGGTGAGGATAGTGGTGAGGATAGAGGTGGGGGGCCGATGACACGACGAGGCCGGCGCGGGTGGTGAGGATCGGGGTGATGGTGAGGGGCTACCGGTGAGGATAAAGGCGGGGGGACGACGAGTGCACGACGATCAGCGCTGGTGGTGCGAGGGCCCAGGGTGAGGATATGTGAGGATATGGGGCTACCGGTGAGGATAGGTGAGGATAGGGGTGAGAATAGAGGCGGGGGCGATGACACGACGAGGCCGGCTCAGTGTCGTTCGTCGCCTCGTCATCGCGTGGTGAGGCAAAGCCCTTGGCAGGCCTGGCCTGGGCTGCAGTGCTGCAGGGGCTGCAGGTGGGCAGGCTGGCTGCAGTTGTGGAGGCTGGGGGCTGCAGGAGTGGCTGCAGTGGCTGCAGGGGTTGTGGCTGCAGGAGCTGCAGTGAAGGGGCTGCAGGGGCTGCAGGTGCTGGAGGACTGGGCTGGAGGGACTGGGGGGCTGCAGCAGCTGCAGGACATTTTGGCGTAACGCGCCTCGTGCGTCGTCACGGCCAGGTAGGCAAGATTTGTGGCAACATATGCGTGGCAACATTTGCGTGCAACATTTGCGTGACAACATTTGTGGCAACATTTGCGTGGCAACATCTGCGTGGTCACCCCCGGTCCTCACCACCCGCGCCGCCACTGCAGCCACTGCCCCTTGCACAGCCACTGCAGCCCTGCAGCCCCTGCAGCCCTTGCTTCAACTTGCAGCCACTGCCACCCTCCTGCCTGAGCCCTTGCAGCCAGGCCCTCCAGCTCCCAGAATGTACCTCCAAATGTCACCCCACATGTTAAGTTGATATATGTGACCCTCCTAGTTTCCCAGTTGACACGTGATGTGCACTTGAGTTGCTATGAGTGTGAAGCATAGGCACGAGGACATGTCAGGCAGTGCAGATTTCTTTTGGCTTGGTGAGACCTTGTTTGAGTGGGAAGAACCGTTTTCTGTTCGTTTTCTCGAAACTCGTTTGTCGGAACTCGTTTCCTGTTTGTGACCTGGTATTTGGTGACCAG